ATTTAGTCTTTTCAAAGCGTACTTCATAAAAATTCCATCTCTGTAACTCAAAGTCAAATAAAATTATAAAATTCTAATCAAACATATAAAGTGTCTAAGAAGTATCTTTCATACATAATATGTAAAAGTTAGAGTAATTTTCTATGGCTGATTTGACACTCTGAAAATCCCATTTTTTTAAGTTTATTGTTTTAAATTTATTTATTATATGTCTATTTCTGCCTGCATATATGCCTGTACACCAGAAGAGGGCATCAAATCTCATTATAGGCGGATGTGAGCCACCATGTAGTTGCTGGGAATTGAACTCAGGATCTCTGGAAAAGCAGCCAGTGCTCTTAACCTCTAAGTCATCTTTCCAGCCCCTCATTTATTTATAGTAATCACACATTTGAGTATTAGACCTAGTGGAAAATTCTAATTGTAAAACAATCTCTGCATCATCACGCTTGTCTTACTAGGTTTCTATTGTTATAAAACATGTATGAGCACAAACTACTTGGGATTAGAGGCTTTATTTTTGGTTTACTGTGACAGTCCAGCATGAAGGGAAGTCAAGGCAGGAACTCAGAGACAGGAATCTACAGGCAGGAACTAAACAAAGACTATGGAAGAACGCTTCTTCATCTCATGTTCCTGATGGCTTGTTAAGACTGCATTTTTATAAATCTAAGGACCAACTGGCTAGGATTGGCATAACTACAGTTATCCGGGCCCTCCCATGTCAATCATCAATCAAAATAAATGCCCTCCAGACCAATCTTATGGAGACATTTTCCCAGTTAAAATTTCTTCTTACTAGACATTTCTAAGTTTTTGTCAAGTTGACAAACAAAGCACAATTGACTCCATGTCTATTTGATACACCATTATCTTCTGTTAAACTATAAACCATAACCTTTCCTTTCTTCATTCCCTAAATCTCATACTAATATCATAATATAAACAGTGTAAACTTGTTTCCCATAGTCTTTAAATTCTCTGTACTTTAAAAGTTCAAGTTATCTTTTTGTGCCTCAGTTTCCTCTTTCATAAAATGAAAAAGTAGGACTGGTTAGCACTTACTATAGATTCTAAAGCTAGCATTCTCAGGTAAGAAATTTTCTGACCATTTTAAACTCCTTTAAATGAGTCAGGCTGTTAAAAATTCTTTTCAATGTTTTTTTTTTCTAAATACACTATGATATACTAACTAGAGCTTTGAGAAATTAACAGGAGTAAAATCTATCTCAGAAAAAAAAATAGTGTTTACCTTTCTATGTTTTAAGGATAATTAAATTTAAACAGTGGTGCCTTTTTTTAGTCACAATGTTAGAAAAGTGAGGAATAAAAAAAATTAAACAGTAAGCAATCATGCTAATTTTGTAAATATATTTCACATTTGTCTACTTAATAGTCTTGTTTCAAACTGATGTAAACTACACATTATGATTATAAAACAAATAAGCAGTAGATTAAAGAGCCCTTGTTAACTAAATAAGTATGTACCACCCCAATCAATCCTTGATATAAGAGCCATGAAAAAAGGTTTCACTCATGAGCTCTTACATTGTATTAAAAGACATGACATTAATTATCCTACCAAATTCCACACTTATTGGCAAGAGAATACTAGTTATTTTAATTTGTTCTAATTAAATACCTACAGAGACAAGCCTGAGCTTCTTACAGGTTGACTTGGCACATACTCTGGGAGCCAGTACCGTTCCACCTGCTGATCCCAGGCACTCAAAACAGCACCTCTGTTGTAAGTGGCAAGCATTAAAATTCCTGTTAGGATTGTCAACACTCTACGAGACACAGTTGGCTTAACAGCCAAAGGCAGAAGGACGTTATGATTAGTGGGGGGGGGGAAGTTCAACTAGATATTATTGGTCATAGTATTCAGTTATAGCCAGCTTTTCCTAAGATGGTGATTTAAGACTTATAAAGTGTGTATTTTAACATAGGCATAGCTCAATCACTGTAAATTTCACATAAATGTTGTCCATAGTAAGTTATGAACTAATTTATGCACACACAGAATCTCTGAAACATAGCAAATATATCCAGCATAAAGCAAAAATGAATGTTAGTGGATAGCCAATGAATAACAGTGTGTGTGTGTGTGTGTGTGTGTGTGTGTGTGTGTGTGTGTGTGTGTGTGTGTGGGTGGGTGTGGGTGTGGGTGTGTGTGTATGAAATTATAGTAGAGGTTGTGTGTTGAAGACTTTCAAGGTACTTTATATTTTCAAAGTAAAATAATATGGGAAGTCCATTTCATTATCACTTCACTTCCCCAGACCCACAAAACTTCCTGTGCATATAGTTTTTTAGAGTCTAACTTCCTTATGAACCAATACTTTTAAGGTTTTAATGCTCCAATTTTATACATAAAACAGCTCACTTTAAATTATCTTCCAGTTTAGCAACTAAAGCATACACACATACCTCTGGCAAATCTGTCAAGTTGGAATGACACTAGAATAAGATACCTTCATTTAGAAAGTGATATCAAGTTTCAATAAGCCCTTTAACTCCAGTTCTAAATGCTGACTTTAGAATGGAGTTCACTTCCCCTTCCGTGGTGATTGGGGCTTTGACAAGGGTGTTTCCCTTTTTTTTTTGGTTTTTCGAGACAGGGTTTCTCTGTGTAGCTTTGTGCCTTTCCTGGATCTCGCTTTGTAGACCAGGCTGGCCTTGAACTCACAAAGATCCGCCTGCCTCTGCCTCCCGAGTGCTGGGATTAAAGGCGTGCGCCACCACCGCCCGGCGGGTGTTTCCCTTTTAAGCATAAATTGATTACTTCTTTTTTTTTTCATTTTAATAGATTTAAACAATGAATTCTTAAAAGACTGAATTAATCAATAAGCAGCTTTCCACTAAGTAACAAGTACCTACCAACTCGATAAAAAAACAAATGGCCAAAGCTTGCCATGTCACTGTCTAATGGCTCGTACTACTTTCAAAATATTACATAAGAAATAACAACTGACCCCATGTGTCACTATTTCTCATATTTTTAGCTTTATACTACAGGAAAGGCTGTTTTTCTGCCATGTATGTGATGTGGTACTGAGATATTTGCTAAACGTGTTTCAGATGTGTAGTTAGAGTACAAAGAAAAACCTATGACCTGAAAGCATAGAAATTTGATTGACTGGAAATCACAGTATAGAAAAGAAAAATAAGTCTCTTTAGGCAGACAATACATTCGGGTAACCCATGTGCTGGTAATCACTGCAGAAAGTCTCAGGTTCTGAACTTTTAAATAACTGTCACTGGAACACTCATGTCTCATGTTGTCGTATGTGACGAGCTTACATGAAATAGCAATCTCCTCTTCCTTAGGCAAGTGACATTTTTTTTTTTTTTTTTTAGTTTCACTCAATAATAGACTTTCCTTTGCTGTGGCTGATGCTTGAATTCTGATAAATAAAACCAGCAGAGGGCAGAACTGCTGACCGACCCGACAGGCGACAAAGCACCAAAGGTAAAAAGCAAACTTTTTGAGGTAGTCTAATTTCAAAGATACTTGTGTTTATCCTTGAAAAAAAGTGGAAATGAATCAACATAAGTAGCCGAAATCACTGCAAAATTCAAATTGAGTCCCACTGTGGCCGGTAGGACCACCAGTGCCCATCACAGACTGAATGAGGAGCTGCCTCCTCCTGGGGAATGTGAAGTGCCCGGGCTTAGAAGCCAAGGTTAGGGCTGGGCATCCTGAAGTGCTAGCTAACTCTCTTTAGAGAGTGTTCAGATCTGGGACTGAAGCCCTATGGCCAGGCTCGGGTTTCTACTAAACCTGAGCATTCAGAGTTGCCCTGACACTTTTTTTTTGTTCTCTCCTCTCCTCTTATGACTGTTCCCAACTTCTCTCTGCACTTCTGACAAAGCTTGCTTTCTCCAGGTGAATTGCTCTCGCTCCTCAACTCCAAAGGCTTTCTCCTGTGGCGAGCAGTCTGCAGCACCTAAGGGACCACCGCAGCCAGATGCCTTTCGGGGAAAGGACAGGAGAAGGGAGGGGGGGGGCAGTGAAGTCCTCCCTCTCCTCCAGTACTGACCGGGCTTCAGTCAGCTAGTCAGGTCTGGAGGTGCCAGGTAGGAACTTTTCCTTACCTCCCTCTCTGAGCCCAGGTCTCCTCCTCTTCCTCCCAATCCCTATTCCTCTGCCCACCACCCTGTTTCCTCCGAGACTTTCATCACCCTCCAAGAGTGTGTCCAACCTGCAAGAAGAAGCTGTTTTTCTTGTTTGTTTTGTTTTGTTTTTGAAGGGGGCAGCAAGTGAAGGTGAGGGGGTCAAGGAGAAGAGGAGAAGGATAAACATCTGGGCAAAGTGCCCACCCCCACACACATCCTCCTGAACTCCACTTTATCATCCGTGCAATGTGTTCCACCGGGAAGCATCTCAAAATGCCGCACACAAAGTGTGCTCAATATTCTAAACCCATCACCCTGGTTTCTCTTACATCCCCCAAACTAAAAACAGCCTATTTCACACTTCCTCACAGACAAAGAAGTTTGTCACTGTTCATTTTACACCCTTTTCTCTGTGTTTTCTCCGCAATCCACCCTTCAAAAGAAATCCCCATTAGAAATCAAGAAACGCGAAGATTTGTTCAAAGGACAGACTGAATAAAGACTGTTCTCGAAACAAAAGCTTTGTACGCCTGCCGTCCTTGTTCAAGGTAATTAATACCTTTCCTTTTTTTGCAAAGAGAGTGTAAAGTAATAAAGGGCTTTCATAGCCCTGTGTGTCTAACATATCCTTTAATCGGCCACTACCTCCTCTACCATTATTATCCTGCCTACACCCATGTCCCTGTCTCTCCAGTTTCCTTTCCCAATCTGGTAGCAACTACAATCTGTATTTTATTTAAAAAAAAAAAAAAGTTGGGGGAAGACAAGTGACAGGGGCACCAAGGGAAAAAAACAAAAACAAAACAAAACAAAACAAAAAACCTCCAGAGGAAAGCCCGGTGGTAATGTCCCACCACCCCAAACACTTTTTTTTCCCTTACCTCCTCTGACCTCTCTGGCTTGGAAAAGGAAAGTCCAGGTGAGGGTTGTGAGGGTGAGATATCAGACCCAACATTTCCTTTTCCTCCTGGACCAGAGTTCCATTTCCAAGCCCGCACTCACAACGGTGAACTCACGAAATCGCAGCTGCAGACCAACTTGGTCCCTTCCAAGGTGTCGCCTGCGTTTGCTACACTTCATCCGGAAGGCAGAGGGCTAAAAATATCAAAGGCATTCTTTTTTCCTTTACATTTGATGGTTTGCTTCTTTCTTGACTCTCGATCCCTCCTTTCCCTCTGGGGTGGCCCTAAAAACTGGGACCCTGAAATCAGTCCTCCGCCTGGCCCCGCCTTCAATTGGCTTCTAAGCCTGGGCACTTCACATTCCCCAGGAGGAGGCAGCTCCTCATTCAGTCTGTGATGGGCACTGGTGGTCCTACCGGCCACAGTGGGACTCAATTTGAATTTTGCAGTGATTTCGGCTACTTCAATCAGAGATGAGAGGTTTCAAGCAAACAACTGAAAACACTTCATGCTTAGGTGGGCTGGACAAGAGGTTCGGGCAGCCCTCTCCTCCACCCACTTCCCTCCCCTCCTCCGCCTCCGCCCCTGTGGGATAGCGAAACTGTCAATCTAACTGAAGGTCACACCCAAACTGACACCTCTTGGTAGCACCAAGGGGACCAGTCTCTCCTGGGAGAATCCAGACTTCTGCAGTCTAGCCCACCGGCCACCTCACATCCCCCATCTCCTCCTCCTCCTCCTTCCCTCCGCAAATCCCAGAAACGGGAGGGGAGGGGAATTGGGTGGGGCCCGTGCTTGGCTCCTCCTGCACCCTGGGAATGAGAGGAATTGCCCGAGAGACCCAGAAGCTCCTGTATACAGTAAAAATCAGCTACCTCCCTATTTGCACTGGTCTAGGAGCCCCTCGTTCTTTGGAGGGGGCATGAGGGAGTAGGAAGAAGTGGCGGGGGTAGAGGGACTGGAAGAGTTTACTTATTTGTTGAGACGTCTTGCTAGTTCTAGTTTTGCTGCTCAGTGGATTGACACTGTTAGTCAATGGAGACTCCAATGTAACTTAGTAAAGTACTTTCAGATACTTTTATGGTGTCCTTGTTACATAAAAGCAAAAGCTGTGTTGACTGACATAAGGGAGAATGCAAATAATTTTCCTGTTCCTTACTGAAGCACCAAAACAAAAATACTATTATGTAGTCTATTAAAAAAAAATGAAGTATTGAGAAGAATCCAGCCACCTATCTACTGGGACATCTAATCTTAAAATTTAGTTGAAATACAGTTTGTTGTCAGAAAAAAGGCACAGATGGACATAGAATCTAAAATGATAAAAAAAAACGGCTGAATTAAATACACACACACACACAATTCTGCCTTAAAATGTCTAAATCTCAGTATTTATACACACACACACACACACACACGCACACACACACACACACAAAGATACTATGTTTTGAAATGCCTAAATCTTAATATTTGTTGAGTTTCTGAGATAAGCAATGTGACTTTTGGATTTATAGACTAAAAATGTGTCTTTGTGTGGTGAAAGCATATTCTATTTTGGAGAAATCCCACTTATAATGTCCTAGAGTTTTCTGGCTTTGTAGTAGAAACACAGATGTAGAGAGGAGGGTTAAAGGTGAGTGAGAATTAGGGAGACACTGTGTGCAGGAAGTCACGAGAAGGCACTACTATTGTAATGATTGCTCAATAGCATTTATTCCATAAACACCGCAATTTAATTGGATTAAGTTATTAAGATCAGGTAACACTTTTGTGTTTGATCGAGATTTTGTACCTTAAGATATTTAAAAGAGCTTGAACATAATACAATTTTTTGAAGGACAAGCATATAGACATGTCACTAAGCACATTCCTTTATGAAAAGCAACTCCCTTGCTGATTAAAAACAGTGATATACACAAACCCCAGAATTTGTATATACACATTTTATTAGAGCAATTTGGAGGTTGCAGTTATATTACTTAAATTTGAGTATGTATTGGAGAAATACACAATCCAGATGGATTTGTAAGCTACATTTATCTTCCTCTACATTTTCCTGTTGGTCGGATTTGTAAGTAAAATCACTATTAGCAGAATGTTGGTAGGAAGACTCTCTGAGGTGCCCAGTGTGACTGTGATTTAGAAAAATAGACACAGCTTAATTCATATCTACAGAATGCATACAAAGAAGACAAGTCCATGCTGCTTCTGAGAGATTTTTCTCCCTATAAAACCATGTAATGCAATGTTCACCAAATGCTGGGGTTGAAATCAGTTCTGAGAATGAGACAAATGAATTATCATGTTAATTTTTATCTAAGATAATTGCTCTAACATTCTTAATCCTGATGAAACATTGTCCTATATAGAATATGAAATGCTAATACTAAAGAAAAAGGCCATTATAATAAGCACATTGGTCACCATTCTCATTGGGGTACATTTTAAAAAGTAAACTTTCATGCACTTTAAAAAATTCTTTAAAGAAATGATTTTAGCAATTTCCAAACTGAAAGCAACCATAAATCCTTCCATAGTAAAATGGCTTGAAAAGAAGAGCTGTCTGTGTTCCCCACGCATGTCCTAAACATCTTACTAAATGACTGAACCTTAGATAATATGCAACAAAATTAATAGTTGAATGAGCCTATGGTTATGCTGATTGGGACAAAATTTTAAAAATGCTGAATATTCTATATATTCCTGAATATATATCTTTCTTAAAACCAAAACAAAATAAACAAGAAGACAAAATGGAGATTTGGAAAACATTTGTCATTTAAAAGGTGTTTTCGCCGGGCGGTGGTGGCGCACGCCTTTAATCCCAGCACTCGGGAGGCAGAGCCAGGCGGATCTCTGTGAGTTTGAGGCCAGCCTGGTCTCCAAAGCGAGTTCCAGGAAAGGCGCAAAGCTACACAGAGAAACCCTGTCTCGAAAAACCAAAAAAAAAAAAAAAAAAAAAAAAAAAAAAAAAAAAGGTGTTTTCATGGGGTGTCAAGTGGTGTGTCTGTTGAAGAATGATATAAAGCAACCTTGTAGTGGTGGGAGCTTCCTGGTCCTAATCTGGGTTCTCTGGTTGGATGCAGTTTGACACTCACGGGCTTCATGCTGTAGGTTTAGTCTCAAACGTGGCAGTGTTTATAGGTAGCGTCACTTTTAAGATCCAAGGCCTATAACGAAACTAATCTGTCATTGAAGGTGCTGCCCTTTGAAGGGATTGAGGTTTTTCTGGAATCCTTTGAGTCCGTGCATCAGGACTATTGTCAGAGAGTAAGACGACACTCTTCTCACTGTCTTGCTTCCCCTCATGCCATGTGCTCTCTCTCCTAAATGCTCTGTCCATGAGGCCATTTGCTATGATGTGACATTACCAAGTTGCCATGGCCAGAGGACAAACTGATGAGAAAAGGCCATTTGTCCTTTCAAAACAATGAGCAACAGAAAATAGGACTGTATATCTGGTTATGGTAGTACATCAGTTTGGGGTGGCATGCTACTTTTGATTTGAATCAATATATACATATGCCTATACATATAACTATGTATCTATTATTTATCTGTATTTATGTATGGCTGTAAAAATCTGTTATTCCTTACAAACACTTGAGGTTCAACAGCTGCTCAAAAATATTTGTCAGTTACAACATGAGTTTACAGTTGTCTGTCAATCAGAATATTATAGAATTTTCAGATTTCAGCTGTTGGTCTACCAACTGTAAAAGCCATCTTTGGTGTTTAGTGCCAAGGAAGGAAATGAGAATTTCATATCCACTGAAAGGTTCTCCATTTCAGCCTCTACTGTAAAGGTATTTTAATGACTAGTTTTGATTCTCATGACAGACTAGTGGGATCAAGAAACGTCCTGTCTTGATTTTTCCACATCATATGAACTAATTGTTAACTCAGCCCTGGCTTCATGAAAAGCTACTCATGTTAGCAGTATTCAGTGACAAACCCGTAAAGAAGTAGGGTTACAAGTCAGGGCAGATATGCTCTGGGCTACATAGGAGAAGAGTGTCTGTAAATCTACAAAAAAAATATCTGCTCAAGTTATGAGGGAGGTTTATTCTCTGCTGCATCTAATTGTTTTACCCACTATGATCACAAAGGACTTTTGGAAACTGGTCAGACTTCAACCTAAAATCTAAGATCTGGTGTTTACTAAATTGCTATTGTTTCTAACACATATTGTGTTCTTTAGAACCTATTTCCCAAAATTTAGCACAGATTTAGAAAAGACAGAATGACTTACCAAACATCCTCATTTATTTTCAATTTTGTGTATCATGAAACTGAGTTGTTTCTATTTTTCATATGTCTTCACAACATTGTTTCACATGTGTAAGGACAACCACTGGCTTTTGTCTCTCTTTGTCCCTTAAGTACTTGCTGAGTAAAAAATATGGTGTCTCTTGAGTATATTCCTTGAAAGAAGTAGCTTAAGTCTTGGGCAGAGTAATATTTGCTGAAGGAAATACATACTTGAAATATATACAGACTGTATAAGCTGGGCACATTGAAGAGACCACCTGAATAGTCACTCCATAATTATGGGAAGCTCTGTATTGTGGGTAGGGAGAGAAAATATCCAGAGGCATCTGAAAGAGTTAAGAACAGAGAGGAAAAAAAAAAGCAGACTAGACAAGACCAGGGCTGTTTGTGGGAGAAGACAGACTTAACATGAAAGAATAGAGGAGATAGCTGGAGTGGAAAGGGGGTGCCTTCATAGAGAAAGAAAGGTTGACTCTGCAACATTTTGGGAGCTATCATAATGCAGGAAGAGTTGAGAGTGGTTGGGAAGGCACAGACAGAAAACTAGATGGGAGCTTTGAGATATATAAGAAGTACTTGTGAGTAGAAACTCAGGGAACCTGGGTGTGGGTGTTGACAGCCTGATAGGTGCTACAAGTACATATGTTAACTGAGAGCCATATGTCCCTTTTGCCAGAGGTAAGGAAACTAATTTCTTTTGCTAGACAAGAATGATTTCACAAATTCTTGATGAATGCTGCTTTCATTTTAATTTTTCCTAACCACCAGAAATCCTATAGTCCAGCCTGAGTTGGGCCAAGACTGGAATTTCTAGATATATATATTCCCTGAGACCACCTAAAACTAATGTGAATCATTACGTAAACCTGATTTTTATTTCCTTTGCAGCTATTTAAGTTAGCCTACAAAGTAATGGGTTTAATTATGGCATTTCAATACATAGATTTCATTCTGCTTTCTTATTAATCACACTCCAACATATCAGTCATTTTATTTCAGAATTATGTAGCAGAAAATCTTTATGAAGAATTTCACAGTTTGGTAGAGTTTTGTTATTTTAATTAGTACTATAATCAGGGAATACACACAGTTTGCAGACTGCACAGTCTATTACTACCACCAAAAGTCAGTCATTTTAAAGACATAGGCATTCTAGATAGACGTGATCTTTCCATGATTATCATGTGTCCAAGGCATACTGCATATTTTATTATGAGATTTAAGAGAGTACCTCCCAGGCTGTTTCAGTCACAATCCTTTGTGTCTCTAGGCTTCACTTCTAAGCATGTATCCTCCCCTTTCTCAAAGCTGTCTGACTTCCCTGGGCATGAAGCTTCCTGACTACCTCCGAAAAGGCACATTCATGTTTAAAGCCTCCTGTGATTCTTGCATCTGTTAGAATCTAAGGTTCACAGCATTGGTGATGTCCGCATGTGGACTTTTGATAGGTT